TGTCCAGTGGGGGCGCCGCTATGGGCCGCGCTCGAGCCGGGGGGGAGCCCGGCGAGCGGCGGGCTAGTAGCGGCGCGCGGTCGTGTCCGGTGGTGGCGGAGACTCTACCGATCCGCCTGCGGGGCGGGCGGGAGTCTCACGCGGCGTCCGATGGGCCGGTCGGTGCGACCAGGTCTCGTGGGAGGCCGAGGCCGTCAGGGGGGCGCCGGTGGTAGGGCGCCAGTCCTCTGAGATGGTCGTGCCGCGACCGATCGGAGCGCTCAAAGAGTGTGGTGCTCAGGCGCTGCACGAATGCGTCGACGCTCTCTACGCCGAGGTCTCGGGCGATTGTCGCGTTCCGTACGAAGCGCGGGGCCTGTACGATGGTGCGCAGCGACAGTGATTGCTGCGCACGGAGGCGTTTCTTGTTGGTTTCGGACACGAGCGCATACCATGCCGGGGCGGCGTAGGTGAGCCGTGTCCGAATGTAGGCCTTGTAGATGCCGAGCTTCGCACGGAGAGGTAGCGCCGAGTCGATCACCGGGCGCAGGAGGTGACGCGCGGCGCGCGCCTGAGCGGTGGCCTGCTGCACGTGGGGCGTCATTGAGAGCGAGCGGTCGATGGTCACGCCGAGGTATTTAACGCTCGGCGCCCACCGGACCTGCTCTCCCATGAGCGTCATGGGACATTATTTCGCCAAACTACGCTACTTATATTTCTATTTACATATTTACAACTAGACAAGATCAGATATAGTTAGGTAATAGTTTCGACCAATAGCGGCGCGCCGGCGTGCGCGGGGCGCGCGGGGTGCGGGGCGCCGCTTTGCACACGGCACTATCGGTTCCTTCCGTATAAGTATGACCGCGCGGCGCGAGCGCGCGCATTTCTCCGAGAGCCGGCGTTGAGTGAAGACTGAAGACTACCTACAGATGAATGAAGAATGAAGATGAATGCAAGTACTCCGGCTCTGCTTGCGCTGCTTGGCTGCTTGCTTTACCAAACCGCTTCTTTCGAAGCGATCGCTCGCGGCACGGTGTGATAACGCTGTTGCCGCAGTGATGATTATCGTTTCTATGCAAGAAAGTCGAAAACTGTCTTTTTCAAGACAATTGGTTTCTGGTTTCTTAAAACGGAGTCAAAACGTAAACTGTCTTTTTCAAGACAATTGGTTTCTTGTTTCTTTAAACGAAGTGAGTCTATAACTTTGGTAAAGGTATTGTGGAAGGTATCTGGTATATGGAAAGGTATTCGGTGGTACTGGTAACTGGTAGGTATGTAGTCGTGCGGTGCGGCTACAATTTCAAAAACAATTTACTTACAGAGTACCCCACTAACTTAATTATTAACGATAAATAGGTTTATATTTATTTGATCTATTATGGCATGACGCATAAGTCATAAGCCAAATAAGGTAAATAATACGAAATTAATATGATATATTGACTACGTTAATATTTATATTTATTATACCTACAAGCATTTGTAAATCATTGTGCCACAAATCAACCACGAGTAAAATGAAAAACTAAAAAACAGCAATTGATTCCTCAGAAAAAAAATATTGTTTATCTAACTGAAACAATGTTTTAATAAAAGTAGGTTTTATCCAGTTTTATAAAGTTGCAATCGATCATGAACGTTAAAATAATTGTATCGTATCGGTAGTTTCCACAGTGTAGCAAAATTAAAAATCGAATTAGTCCGTCAGTTAAATAATGAAAAAATATTAGACACGTATTTTTTATTTACTCGTAGGAAGTTGCAATAGGTACCTACTTAGATAAAATGGCGCTAAGTTTAGGAGTGGGAGGTCGTTACGTCATAACGTGCTACAAAATGTGGCACGCTATGACATCACACGATATTACAAATTAATATATCGTCGAAAGTAAGTATTTCATTTTGTGAGAAAAGAAAAAATACGTGTCTAAAGTTTTAAATTAATGTACCAGACGGACATTAAAATAAAATTTAGGAAACTACCCTATTCACTTTGGTTGCAAAAGTTGTATTTTTTTTTACTTTCAATATAATGTTAACCAGCTACAAAACAGTAAAGTGTGTCTATAATCAATGAAATAGATTACACATTGTCTATGGGTCCGGTTATGTATTACATTTATTACTGTTACGGATAATATCAATCTATCAACTCTACGGGCACGTGCTAGCAATTGTGTCGTGTTTGTGAAGATTATCTACGAGCTACAACCAATAAAACATGGGACAGAAGTTTTGGAATATTTATGATACATTCGTAAAAATATGATAGTCACAGCTGTCTATTATTCAAGGGAAATTCTTTACGATAATATTTGAAATGTTATTAAAGATTACTTACCTAATCTGGTCATCAGAAAAATCGGCCCACCTGCGTTTTCACCGTAAATCACGTTTTTCTTAAGCAAAACCAAACAAAATGTTTCAGAACTAAAATGGTTTTATTTAACTTGTCTAATTACACGAATTTAATCACAAATTACACATCAAAATGATTTCCTGACAATGTTTTTGGCAAAAAATGCAAAGTCATAACGTTTCGCGATTTTTTGGTTAATTTTAAATACGCGCTAGTTTTTTTAAAATTAATGTTTTTGTATACAATTATTGCAATTCAATATTGCGTATTTCCTCCTCTTGCTCGAATGACGGCCTGCATTCGCCGTTTTAGTGATCTTATCAATATTTTGATGGTCTCTTGAGGGATTCGGTTCCATTCTTCCCTGATAGCGTTTTCCAGGTCTTCTAAAGTTGTGGGGACTGGATTACGGGCTCTAACCTTTTGTTTTAGAGTGTCCCATATGTGCTCTATAGGGTTTAGATCAGGGCTTCTTGCTGGCCACGACATAACCCGAATGCCGACCTCTTCAAGGTAGTCAGTCGTAATGCGCGCTACGTGTGGTCGTGCATTGTCATGCATTAATTCAAAAGTCTCTCCAATTTAGCCAGCATATGCCAACACATGGTCTTCTAGGATCTCTGTAATGTAACGTGCAGCAGTTAAAGCACCTCTTCGTATAAAAACTAAATTTGTGCGTCCAGTCAAAGATATCCCAGCCAAAACATTACAGAGCCCCCACCATAACTTACAGTTTCTCTTATACAACACTGGGTATAACGTTCACCTGGGCGTCGCATGACATTACGACGTCCATCAGAACCATATAAAGTCATTCGACTTTCATCACAAAACAGAACTGACTCCCATTGCCCTATAGTCCAGTTAACGTGATCACGCGCAAATTGAAGTCTGGCTTGACGATGAGCTGTAGTCAATTGTGGTCCTGTTGCTGGCTTGTGTGGTCTTAAATCCTGTTCACGAAGTCTCCTTCTTACTGTACTGTCACTTATAGCCACACCCCGTACTTCACGTAAGCGTCGCTGAAGATCAACGCCAGACAGATGTCGATTTCGAAGGGCTGATACCACTATAAAGCGATCATCTCTTTGATTTGTCACCCTATATCTTCCAGATCCAGATCTTCTTCGATACTGCCCAGTCTCCTGAAACCTTTGGTAAACTCGCCGCACTGCAGAACGGCTCAAATTTAACTCCTGGCCACGACACGTTGATTAAGCCTTGTTGCAGCAAAGCCACAACTTGGGCCGCCTCAGCTTCAGTAGTGTCCATTTTTTTAAACAAAGTAATCAAAATACACTCTCAGTAAATAAACTCAACGTTATTAACAAGAAATCCCTACAAAAGTCAGCTTGGAATTGAAAGAACGGATCGAATTTGTTCCGACGTAAAACCGTTTATTCAGCACTTAACAGTGTTTCTGCAAAAAAAATGTTAAGTACCTTCAAGAGCAACAAGATTTACGACAAACAAGATGTCAAACATCATATCCGATCCTTAAAACAAAAAACAAACGTGTGAAACGGCTTATCTGTGAAACAATCGATAAATATTAAACAAAAAGTGGGTGGGTCGATTTTTTTGATGACCAGTGTACTTAACATCAAGGGAACAATTCTTTTTACGCCCCGAATAATAAACATTTCACCAAAAATAAGTTAATTCAAGATACGAATTGTTTCCTAATGAAAGATAGTTACATCCTAGAAGGAAATTTTTAACAAAGTTTACCTTCTAAATATCTAAATTGTTTAGTGGTATCTCGTTTCGGTTGTAATCTGCTCGCCGCCCACATAAATTGTGTCAACGCCTGGCGTGCTCCTCATACCACCGATTTTGGTGGTCTATTTTAACGTGTTCGTCGCTCCATCCTATGTGTCAAGTGCTTCTTAAGATACACCATCCGTATTTTGTTTTTCTTTTTGTTAGTTCAGATTGAATCGTATGATTCTATTTCGGTCTTTACTGTTAAACGTAGCTCGTAGATGACAGCTTGAAAGATGTTTGTTGAACATTTTAGAAAGAACGGCTTTTATTATTTCTATCGTGTAGTAAAATTAATTATCCTTAACTGAAGTCGTTTTAGAAGCCGATTATTATTGGTTAACTAGGATTGTAAACACAGTAGTTTATATAAAACACGAATACTTAACTGAAAATACACATGACGTAATTGTAAGATTGATAGGTTTACGCCCGTCGTTAACATTTTCATTTTGTTAATTACTTAGCTAAGTACTTGTAATTCCAGTAAACAAAAATAATTAGGTGGCAAATACATATTATTTTTATTACATTTTATTGATGTAGTAGGTATACTAGCTCATAGAGCAGGTCCGCCGGTGGCCCGTGTTGCTCTATGATACTAGCTATACGACCTTAGAAGGCTAGGTACCGGCCACAAAGTAAACATTACTATTTCAGTAAGAAGTATGACAAGAAAAATATCGCCATAGACATTGAAACAACTGACAAGAAAAAAAAATAAAATGCATGACTGGCAACTATAGATAATAGAAGAAATATAAAAAAATATACTAAATCTATGAAAAAAATAGGTAATTGACAGCTAATAATTTTGATTTGGCGGAAAAATAAATTGTGTACATTTTTTGTTTTTTTTTTTTTTTATTAATTGTTTTGTCTCCATTTTCAACAGTACAACAGATGCAGAACAAGCTGGTTTGCATTGAACACAATGAATGTGGTGCATGCTTATCTGCAGCAGCGCACTGTAGATGGTGTGCCGACATCAACTATAACTCCGGAGCGCCAAGATGTAATGATGACGAGAGGTAAATAGCTAAGAGTTGAATAGAAATTACGAAGCTGTTCGTAATGTTAAGAGCATTACTGGTTATTGTAGGTACTTATGATGTTTTTAATGCATATCAAATTGTTAGCTTAACATAAATATAATTAGTTCTTTAGTCGTGTCGACGACAACATAGACGACATATTGAAAAAGATGATTTCAAAAATTAGATACGTGTAAGTGTTTGCTACTTAGTAGGTATGTAATCCGTATTTGTACTTCTGCTACTATTGTGCATGTAGTGAAAAGACAATTCATAACCCCGTACTACTCTTATGTTGTTTTAAACTCGGTTTCAATACTCCTAATGCTATTTTTGCTTCATATAGGATACGATTGCGTGATTAAAGTGACAACATGAGTTACGTTTTACTGCGATTAATTTACTAACTTATGTTACTTAGCTGGTGTGAAGTGAGAACCGGCTGTAACTGTCATAACAGTTCTTAGGTCATGTTGGGAGGCAAATTACATTAATAAGAATAAATATCAGCCAACGGATAATTAATAATAATCATGGCTTTCAAGGAAAAGCAAGGATTACCTTACCTATGTGTTTAAGATGTTATAATGTTATACGATGATCTGAGCAAATTATTTAGCGCTAGTGACAAGGAGTTTAATTAATGGTTAAAGCCGAACCTTAACATTGTTGCAACAAGGTTGAGCAGTTTTTTGTCCATTACCATACCTTTACCGTATTTAGGAGCATCACTAAAAAGGTTGGCACTAAGAATTCGATGTATTCAATGTATATTTTGATAATTAAGCCTTAACTAGGTATTTAGAGAGAATGCCCATAACAATAACAAGGGATCATCATCTAGTTATCTCGCGTAGATCTCGGCAGTTAAGCGACGCCCACGACACACGGTAATTGGATGGGGGATCGTTGGAGTAAGGTCAGTTGTTACCGTCCTTGATGTGCGTGAAAATATTTGTTTCATTGCAATTTTGGTGGATACGGTACTAAGGAGTTGGTAGCGCGTGGGTATAATTTGGAGAAGATATTGTTTTAATATTAGTACTAAGTAGTCATCTTCTGTATCATTGGAAACATACCAGGTGTTTTTTTTACCTTGTTTGGAGTATTCAAAAATGTTCTTATTGTGTTTGCTACCGTATAGTAACCAAAACTTGCTTATTGATGTGACCTGTATTGTGTTAGGCGCCTAGGCAATTTCTACAGAAATATCCGATTTTCTTGGTTATTTTATCTACTGCTTAATTAATTGTTTGTTAAAATCTTCAATGCACACAATAAAATTTATGATTCTGCTTCTGGCTGCATAACAATAATTCTTCACAGTCACACTATAGCTTCAGGCTTCTGTCAGATTTCAAAGCAATTAAAAAGTTCCGGTTTATTTCGCTCAATCAATTAGGTACCCCGACCGCAGCGCAAGCGCATTCCTCGTGTTTAGGTACTGTTCCCACGTTCACTGACCGATATTTGGGCAACGGCTCCCCAACTAATCAAGAGATCGTTGTTTGATAGATTATTTATTGTGTTGAGAACGAATGGACGGTTTCCAATGCACTGGTACTTTAATACTTAGCAGAGAAAAGTGGGTAACGATTAAAGTGGTCGAGTGTACGCTCTGGTACGTGCTTATTAAAAGATTTGTTGTTTGTTTTGATACTTTGTACTGTGCACTGTAAACTCGGAACTGCGGACCGTTATTTAATTCATTCGATTACGTGTAAAGGAAATATACCAATCGACTCGTTTCATTTTAACCTCTGTGGAAATTGCCTTGCATTTAATTGAGTGCATTCATATTTTACGATTCTGTTTGAAATAAGGTGTCAATTTAACCAGGAAATCCGGCATCATTTCAATCAATAAATGCAACCGAGATTTTATGAGGTGGGTGGGCTCTATACGATGCTAAAAATTTTGAAAGCCTCTGTTTAAGATTTCTTTACTTGTTGTACGCTGGTGCTATGCTCTGGCTGTAATAAATAGATGATCGAATCATAATTATTATTTCTTTACCACTAGTTTGGTGAATACCGGCTGCAGTCAAGGCTTGATACAACGGCCTGAGAAGTCGGTATGGGAGGTCATGGAGAACAGCTCGCTGCAGGATATGACTCCCAACAGTGCAGAAAATGTAGTACAAATACAACCACAGAGGATTCATTTGTCTTTAAAACCACGTAAGTTTTTATTTGTACAAATATAACACAATTTTTCTCTATGCTTTTTTAACATTACATTTTGTATGGTTTTTAGGGGAGACAAAGAAGATTCAGTTTTCTTACAGGCCTGCCAAAAATTACCCTCTAGATTTATATTATTTGATGGATCTCACTTGGTCTATGAAGGATGACAAGGAAACGCTGGTATCATTGAGGGATGATCTCCCAGCTTTATTGAAGAATCTTACTGATAATTTTAGGTGAGTGACAAAATAATACCAGATTTAGCAAGTCAATGTAAGTTTGATTAAATTTAAGAAGTTTGATTCACTAAAACACGACTAGTGTGTTTAGGATAAACATAAGTCTGTCGTCAATCAACAACATTATGTCACAATAAAACTAGTTTAGTTTAGTAAGCCTAAGCTTTTTCCTAAATAAATAGATTAACGATGAAGCTACCTTTCAGGTTAGGCTTCGGTAGTTTTGCCGAGAAACCCCTCATGCCGTTCATTAGTACGGACGCAAGAAGACGAGCTAACCCCTGTTCTATGGAAGAAGAAGCTTGCGAAGCTACTTACAGCTATAAACACCACCTGTCTCTTACGAATCAGGTAGTATATACTAGTACATAAGATCATATATGCTTAGGATATCATTTTATTGAAAAAGGAAATCCTCAATAATCTTTTTCCCAGTTTAGAAGCTCATAAATAGATAAGGTTAATATGTTGCCGAGTATTAAGGTGTTGCCTGATATCAATGTCGTTCGGTTAGTTCAAGATTTCTTAATTGACATAGGGCCGATTTTTCCAACGCTAGATACATTTTACCTGAGGAATAATTTTGACTATTTGACAATTCTTCCATACTAAAACTGTCAAATGACAATTTTATTCTACAGTTATGAATTTACTGATGATTGCAAAATCGGCCCTTAATGAAAAAGTTCATATAAAATAGACTTGTAAATGAGAATTCGTAAATAGAATTTTTTTTTAAATCGTTGCCCCACATTAGGATTTTCTCCTGTGTCGTGGGTGCGTCTACAAACATATAAGTTCACATACACAATGACACCCAGACCCGAAACAACAATTTGTGGATCACACAAAGTGTTGTTCCGTGCGGGAATCGAACCCGCGCCACGTTGCACGGCAGCCGGTTGCCCAGCCACCGCACTAACCGTGCAGTCAAGGTTAAGGGTATTACTTAACTTCAAAAAATATTCAGAGTTGTTGAGGTTAATTAATGTAATACTAAATATGGTCTATTTCTTCAGGTAAACGAGTTCATAGAACATGTGAACAGTAGTTCAGTTACTGCAAATTTGGATAACGCAGAAGCTCAACTAGATGCTCTAGTCCAAGTGATAACTTGCGGAGACAAGATCGGGTGGGCAGAGCATAGCAGAAAAATTATCATACTACTCTCCGATGGACTTATGCACACAGCCGGAGACGGGAAACTTGGTAATGTATAATTAATTATGTAATATGTGTGATAACATAGATAACGTTAAGTGCTTCCTCCAAAGGGAGCTCTGCTTGAAGATTTCTCTAGTATTGTAATTACTGGTTAAAAGATTTTATTAGGTAGTATAAAGTTTTTTTTGCATTTGGATATCGATAAAAATTTGGTGCATCATTCTTTACTACTTTACTTCCGAGAAAAGGCAAGATAAGTGGTGGATTTGATAGGTGGATGGAATAATGATTAATAATATATTTCTATAAAATTTTGTGTCATAGCGACGCCATTTATCGTATCGATAATACTCAGAAAATAGAATTATAATATTGTTTAAAGGAAACGGGAAAACCTTGCATTAAACTAGATACTACCTATTAGTCGATGTTTTATTCACGCGATACATAAAATATTTGTACAATATAATACATTAACAATTATGCTACCTACATCTACGTATGGAGTATCGTATGACAACAATCAATTTAAAAACAACAAAACAGTTACGTGAAAGTAGATATCAGTAGTATCAGTAACAGTATACACATACTCACAAGTAAATACGTACGACTATAAATAATATTTAGAATCAGATGCATCTGATAACGAAGACTAATCCGTTAAAGGTGGCGCGACCAAGAAGAACGATGATCAATGTCATTTGGACGACAAAGGGTACTATTCTGATGCGGCTACTTACGACTATCCGTCGATAGCGCAGTTGTACAGACTTTTGGAGAAGTACAAGGTTAGCATTCCGTTCAACAGTCTAAAGATTTTTGATTATTTTTGTAGCCCAATTAGATGCGCAGGATAAAGTTAATGATTTTTATACAAGTAACAAAAACAATTATGAATATTAATTCAAATTCTTAATATTGGATCCCGGCAGAATCTTTTGGAAATGATTATAGACTTCAATATATCACAGTGATATACATTTTTGGTCAAACTGCACTAATTTGTTCCGGTTTATAAAGTTTGATTCAATCTCTACACATAAATATTTAGTTAACATTCTGGGATGTCATGCGTAAATCATGTCAACGATATTGCTATTCCACACATTCCCTAATGAAGCAGTATCATCTAAGTTCGTCGTTAATTATCTCGTTGCACCAAGATTTCCTAATCAAACATCCCATAAACTTCGGACGGGCGGTGGTAAATATTTAACGATTCTGGTAATTTTCAGGTTAACGTAATTTTCGCAGTGACGGAAAGCGTGAAAGATCACTACGATAGTTTAAATCAACTGCTTGAAGATTTTACTTACGTAGCTAAGCTAGAGAGTGACAGTTCAAATATTCTGAAACTAGTTAAAACTGGTTATGAAGATATTGTAAGTGTGGTGGACTTCCACGATGACTCTAATTTGGGACCAGTGAAAATTAGGTACTTTACGGACTGCGGAGTTGAGGGAGGTCCTTTGAAAGAGGAAACAAGGTGCACAGGCGTGGAATTTGGAATGACGTTGCGTTATGAGGCTCACGTAATTTTGGAATCTTGTCCTGAGTACAAATCTGTAAGTAGTAAAATCGAAAATAACCCGATTTAGATATATTCATCATTACTATAATAATTTTTCATGTGTTTGTTTATCCAGTTTACGCAAACTATTCGCATAGCTGAATCCCAGCTAGGGCAGGATGCTCTGACGTTGGAAGTGGACATTCAGTGTGGATGTGCATGCAGTGGAGCCCCACAACTGGACATGTCACCGATGTGCCCGATTAATGCTCACTTCGTTTGTGGAGTGTGCCAGTGTAACAAAGGATGGTAAGTTCCAATAGTTTACATCGTACTAATCCCTTTTCAATTTTATGGTACAAAATATTCGCTTATCTATCTATAGTTGAATGACCTAAAAAACTTATCACAAAACATTGGCTTATTGTAGCGTTTGGATATAATTTTACGACAGAAATGACACATTTGTCACGATGTATGTATTTCTGTTTGTCACAATGCGTCGTCACGATTGCATAAGACCCACAATAGGGATTTTGCAATATGTTTGTTCGCATGTCAAAGCTGCCGTGTGAATTGAGTTTCTAATAAAGATTTGATTTTATCGTCGTCCAGTCAAGTTTAGTGTCTCCACTTATCCAAGTTACGCAAAAGGAGAATGGCAGGTTTGTATGGAAGTTTTGTACCGCTATAAAATTTTGTATTAGTCATTGTTTTAACCAAGTGAATAGTCTGAACGATAGATATTTTTATTATGAAGTTTAGAAAAAAATTACATATTTTTAGAACTTGGGGTTCAAAAGTTATTTCACTTTGAAAATGTGCAAAAGGTACGTTAAGGTGGTACCACACTTGACATTGCGTAGTCGCTTCATTTGTCCAAATATTTGTAGACTACGTACAAATGACGTTCAAATAGTATCTCTATATGTAATGGCGTGCAAATATATAGCAAACAAAGAAGAATAAATTCTCCAAACATGTTCTTTTTTGGTCGAACACAACAAATACGCAACGTCAAGTGTAGAGCCACCGTAAGCAAAATATCTACCTATTACAAATGACAGATGACAGTTAACTGAAAAATGTCAATGTGCTCTCATGTGGTTGTTTTTTATTTACAAAAAACTAAAATCTAAAAATACTGCTTGCTACTCAAGTGACTATTACACTTTGTATTATTAGGAATGATCCTGTTAATTCAGCAAGCATGATGTACCTATAGAGTTTTAAAGAGTATGCCTCACAATCTTTTTAATTTCTTAGGTACCTACGAAAATGCAAATTCATAATGTAAGCGACTGTCATTGGGTAGAAGGCCTACATTTAGCAGTGGAAGTCTTGTGGCGGATATGATAAAACTAATAGTGTCTCACTTCACCTTGAATCTTGCAGGTAGATAGTCTCAAAGGTCTCAAGTTAATTCGATTTAAACTTAGCTTAGCTTTTTGAGAAAGTATTTCTTCTGAAAGCTGGTTGCTTAGCACGCGTGTAAGGATTAATTTCTAATAAGTAAGTCAAATTAGTAGAATCATCAACATTTTCATCATTAAGTCTATTAGTGGCCACTGCTGAACGAAGCCTCTTCTCGCATGGAGGTTTGAGCATTAATCACCATACTAGCTCAATGTGGGTTGGTAATTCAAACTTATAATAAGAAATTATAAGCCCATGTTTCCTCACAATGTTTTCCTTAACCATTCGTCAGCGGTGTCTTTGTACTTTCTTAGATTATTGAATATACGAATAACTCGGAAAAAAGACACATTGGTACTTTGCCATTGGTAGGTTTCGAACCCGCACTCTCATGCATGAGAAGCAGGCTTCTTAAACCTCTGGGCCACCACATTACAACTAAAGAAAATGTAAAATGAAAATGAACATTTTTGGTATAAAACTAAAGCTATCTAAATTAAATATGGCATTTATTTTATAGATTGATTCTTAAAATCACTTTTATCAAGATGGAATATATAGTTACTTACTAGGTTAAAATAAAACAAATGTATTATTTTGAAATACTTTTATTTCATTGTATTCAGGTTGTTTCTAGGACTACTTCATCTAAAAAGAGAACAGGCAGTGTCATAGGTACAGCAGACATCAATTGCTGATATCTGTAAACAAGTAAGATAACTGTAAATAAAGTAAACAAAAGTACATTTTTTTCCTTTAGTTTTATATGTTATAATAATATGTCTGATTCCCTATCTTAAAATGGAAAAGATAAAAAAAATATTTGATTACATTACTTGATTTTATAACATTTATTATAGTTATTCGTATAACACAGATCTTAGGAGCTCGAACAGCATGCTAATTAATAAATTATAATTATAACATGAGTATAAACCTATTAGAAACCGCTTATATACTCCACATAGATACATAATTATGTAGGTACATTATAATGAGAATGCATACCTGTTGAAGCTTTGAGAGCCGAACAACATCTTCCGGCCTCATCTGTTCTACAAATGGCAATGTTAAAGTGAGGCTTAGTCCATGTTTACATAACACATTATTTCCTGATAGTGAACACTGTGAGGTGGTATGTCAGGTTGTGGTTTTAGAGTTTCGGCTCTTGTACGGTCTCTCAGTCAGTATGGAACATGATCTTCATCATGCTAAGCTAAGCTAAAATAAAATTATTAGAATATGATATTGACTTTAGATTACACTGTATATAGATAATAGTATGGTTAAATTGTGCTTTATTACCTCTTGTGGCTGAATCCAATCAAATACTATATGAGCCAGTGTTTACTCCTGTTTGTTGGCGCCTTCAATTAAAACCCTGCGTCACCTTATCATTGCAATGAATCACCCATATACGACACAAACATGCCGGTGACCAATTTGTTTGCTGGACATATGTCCTTCCAGCAACATCCCGATACATTGGTAATTGCCAGCAAGCATTGCAAATATGGTCGGTAGGAGAGATCTAGAATAAAAAGAATAAAATGATACATTATGGGTAGATAACACTATGCGCTTCTTTTATTCAGGCAACATGGTGACTTTCGATATGTTATGGGTAAACTAGGTACTTACATCTCTAGGATAAGTCCACAATGGGATATTGTTGACCACGTCTAATCTTTACTCTCATTTCCTAGAGCATGCCGTCTCATGTGCGACAAACTCTGAATGCAATTAATGCACTGTAAATTCATCATCGCGACAAATTACAACACACTATGCACAAAATAATGTAAATAAGTGTCTTTTCGCAATTGTCACAAAATGATGCCAATAACACCAATTTGGGCTACGGAGGAACGGTTGCCAAACTCAACGTATCACAGATGAATAAAATAACTTCAAATTCAACAAACACATCATAACATCGCATTTGAAACAAACAGCAATGCGCCAGTATTGACATTTGACAAATTAATTGTCAATGTCATCAAGACAAATGCCAGTTCAACATTGCCATATTCAAGTTTGTTAAAATATTAATATTATCATTAATAATCCATGTAGACGTAGATTTAGATTGGATGTAGATTTTTATATTTACTTATAAAAATGTTTGAAATGGAAAGGAAAATATTTCATTGATAGATATTAAAATAAATGAGTTTATGAAATAGCGAAATTCAATATGCTCTGATTTCATTTTTACGCATGGCAACTTTGTAAACGTCAATCGCGGTTCGTTTTACGTTTAGTGGATTGATTTTTATCATTATTGAATATCAGTTTTTCTAGGGTTTCCCAAGTTCTAAAAATCTATTAAATATGCTAACATAACGTACTTAGGAGGTTCTTTAATGATCCAATTTTTTAATGACAAATCTTTTTTTAGCGAAGCGGTACAAAATCTGCCGTTCTCCTTTGTGAGAAGACACACTCGAGTTTGGTGTGACATTCTCTTTATTTTGCAATAGCTTTAAAATCATATAAGGCGACATAAAATTGGAGCTTAAAAACGTAATTGATATTTGTCTTCATGTGGTTTTATCGGAGTGCATATTCATCTATTTGCTGTTGTCACTTGGTGCTATGTTAGACTACAACTCTTTGCAAATAATGTGTCGTGTCAATTCGCACCTTGTCGATATTTGTCTACCAATAAAGCTCTGTCGTGATCTATTCCAGGAACTAGAGTAGCTACTGGCTTACTTCCTACATGAGAGTACACGCATGTTCTTAGTATTGTGAAGTCCTGATTAGTATGTCTTGCACTAACAGTAACGGTTTAATCGAAAACCGTTAATGCAATTAAGGTTTGAATAATATTTAAAAGAAAGTGGGAATGAATTATGGATTGAGTGTCATTGTAGCATAATTTGTTTACGAATGCTTAATTTGATTTTGGGTTATATCCTGTGCATTAGTCACGTAGCCAATTAATTTGTTTGCCTTCTCCCACTTGACTTACTTACAAGGTCCTAACAAATTGATGGAAGCAAGAAAATCAAAGTTGCAGTACCTCAAGCCTAACAACCAACCCTTATTTTAATTTCCAGGTCTGGTCCAACATGTGATTGTGCCATAGGAGATGAGAATGCATCAGCAGAACTATTGGCGCAGTGTCGGGAACCGAACACGACTCGTGCCCTCACCTGCTCCGGCGCCGGCGACTGTCTCTGCGGAGAGTGCGACTGCGATATAGGCTTCACTGGGAGATACTGCCAGTGTAAAATGTGTGATGTTAGCCTGTAAGTATAATATTTTTTAGAAAAATAGTTTTAGTGCTTAAGTAGGTAAGTTAATATAAGTTTTGTGTCGTGAAATATCCAGGGTAGAATTCCAAGAATGGACATTGACTTTAGCCTGGCACCGAATTCAGTAAAATATTTTGCTTCTAGTTTACGTAAAAATCGTAGTGTTTTCGTCCCTGCAAAAGCCTAAGTTACGAGTGTCAATCGATACTAACCAGACGCACATTACGTCGTGAGGTATTGAGAGCATCAGTAAATACACTTTACGTTAGGCACCGACTGTCGATACTTTGAGTATTTCTGGATATATGCGGAATGTGTTTACTTGTCTCTTTTGGAATAGGCGCGTTACTTCCTACTGATGCTTGTTTAATGGCCTGGTTAATGTGCCTCAACGAAATAACTGCTTATGCTGTTATGCAAATAAATAATCTTCCATCGCCTCGGGTTGGTTTGTTTTGTTTTGAATTTTACGAGTAACTTAAAGATAAATGTCTAGATTTTATTTGCTTGCTTCGAATAAAGCTGTGATTTAAATTTAGCACAATTATTTAAGTAAAGCCTTATACCAATATTTTGGCTAACTAGATTTTTTAAAATTCAATTTTTCGTATTAGAAAGGCCTATTAGAGATTTATAAATCTAAATTCGTATATCATACGTTTCCAGTGAAAATGGTCTGGAGTGTGGCGGAGTGAGTCGCGGCGTGTGCGCATGTGGTGAGTGCGCATGCGCGCCGGGCTGGACCGGGCCCGCCTGTGACTGCACCAATAATACCAACACCTGCATCTCTCCAGCCGGAGGAGATATTTGCTCGGGACATGGGGAATGTGTTTGTGGTCAGTATATTTAAACAATAGAAACAATAATATCAGAAAAATAGCAAAGAAATGCTTATGCCTATGTTGTCAATGTAATAAAATTAAAAGATTTATTGACTGACTAAATACTGTTATCAAAATGGACAAACAAGAATTTTAGAAACTCAAATAGAAGTACATATTTGAATAAAGCAATTCTTCAGTGGAACAACATAACAGAGACATGCGGAGGTCGCGACCTCTTGAATAGTCAAAGAAACAAATTTTTATATGAGAGTGTCTGTTTACATTTTTCGAAGGTTTGCCTACATATTAGATAAGGGTCAGGTGAAAGTGAATGGGTACTTCGAAACACCTGACAGAATGGGCACAATTCAGAACTAGTAGGTTTTATATGATTTTGATTGGAGAAATAAGAATGGAGATTAAAAACATGTGAGTTACCAACAGCAATTTTAGAGTACCTTCTTATAACGTTTGGGAATCGTCATGGATTTCTTTTGTCTAATATGTCTAAACATTATCCACTATCCACCAGACATTATCCACCAGAAAAAGTAAAAAAAGTGGTTTCACCATACCTAGATAATGATTAAAAACAAAACGAATGAGGATTGAGGGACTGCACGCTTGGCGCGGTGACTGGGCAACCGGCTGCAGCGCAACGTGTAACGGCTTCGATTCCCGCACCGAGCAACTCTTTGTGTGATCCATTAATTGTTGTTTCGGGTCTGGCTGTCATGCGTATGTGAACCTGTATGTTTGTAAACGCACCCATAACACACGAAAAAGTCTTAGTCTAGATCACCATCGACAAACTATCGAAGTGCTTAAGACATGCGTATGCACACATAATACGATTCAGTACTGCTTCTTAAAGGATTTCAGATTTCTTTAAATACCTAATGCATTCAGTTTGATGTCCAGTTTTCCAATTTTCCATACCATCACCTTAAAAAACCTATCTGGCACTTGCAGGTAGATGCGAATGTTCAGTGGCGGACGAGAGCGGCGCGAAGTACTCGGGCTCGTTCTGCGAGTCGTGCGCGACGTGCGACAACCCGCTGTGCGCGCACGCCGAGCCCTGCGTGGCCTGCAGCCTGCGACACAACTGCAGCGCCCGCGCATGCGCCGCCGGGGACGTCAACTACACCGTCACTGAACTACTCACTGACTTGGGTATGTCGTGTTCTATCAGTTTTTTCATTATCATTACCCTTCTGTTTATATCTTCCTTCCGTTTATATCTTCTATCTTTTTTATCTCTTTCTTTATTTTCATTTCTAAAGGCTGTTTTTACCATCCTAAGATAGGTAGATGATACTTAATGACTTTTTGGATTTTTACTTATCTTCCTCATTACATTCCTCTTACTTATATCCTTTCACGTTGGGTGTCGTGTAATCTAAGTGAAAGTTAAAGTAATTACGTTAAACGTTAAAGTCAGTGTAGATGCTCCACAAACTAAGTACAAGTATCCTGAAAACGGCCAATAGACTCTTCTCACATAGGCTTCTACTTGGCAAAGAAATATTATTAATTCGATTGTTGAAATCATTTAGCAGCTTTTAGTTCTTACCTTTTTTAGACTTTTGCTATGTACGCCGTATCAAGTGTAGTCTTCCTGCCATCATAATTTGTATCTGGGGTCAGTCAGGCTCACATTAGTACACTTAGAGAAAGTAACCCATTCAAAGTTAATGTAGCAAAACTGCAGCCATTAAGTTGTGGTTAAGATTACTCTTGAACATGTTAAAAAACAGTGGCTTTTGCCATTTAAGTGGTTGTGGTTTGCGGTTCACTAATGCTAATTTGTTTATGATTGAGATGGGGACTATTAAAGTCAAAAGCATTAAGCATCGGTACTTGCCTATAAAATACGTCCTTATAAGAGATTTTTGGTTGTAAATTTCTAAATCTCGTAATTCGTTTTATTGCCCATTAGCCACATTACGACACTTTTTGTTACAGTAACGGATGACCTAACAACATGTATCCTACGTCTGGAAGAAGATAACCTCGAATGTGAATACAAATACACGTATTCTGCCAAACCCTCATCAGGGGTTGAAATTATGATTGGAGGCAAAGAGTGCTATAGTCCAACTAGTGCTAAAATCGTGACAAGTGCAGTAGTTATCATGGGCTGTGTCATTGCAGCAGGATTAATAATCATATTATTCTTCAAGTGTGGACAGATTATGTCTGATAGAAGGGCCTATGCAAAATTCGTCAAAGAAGCACAAGAAAGCAGGAAAAATATGCAAGAATTGAATCCTTTGTACATTTCTCCTATTTCAGAGTTCAAATTACCTGATTCGTTTCCTAGAGACAAGAATGATTAAGTCTTTACTACGTAAGTGTTCTTTTTGTATTTAGTTTTTTGAACTTGTTTTTTTTATAGCACTGTGGTTGCAATAAACGTTGATAGCGCCTCTGGTGGTGAAAAAGTGAACAAGTGTTGTATATGTACTACTTATTTGTTTTTGGCATATTTTGTATGATAGCATAGTCGTTACTGTATTATTTGTGTTTTAGTATTTCAGATTTGTTCAATTTGTGCGTTAGAAACATGTAGATTTGTAATTAAATTGTATTTTCATACACCTTCAGTGACTTACTGTTCGAATTTAAGCTTTATTATTTCAGTGATAAACTTTATAATAGGAAATGTTTACCATTTTCCAATTTGTCATAATATTTGATAGTACAAAATATATTTAATGAAATCTACTTATTATAAGTCTTATACGTACTTATAGATATTTTCCTAAAGTTGATGCCATTTGTGCCTTTCAAATTTTTTTTTTAATAAATCATTCGTACTGTTCATCAGTCGTTATTTTTCCCATATAATATTCTTCTTGGTGTTTTTTTTCTGCATTAGAGAAACTCTTTTGTATTAAAAATGTACTTATTTTTTTACTTAATATTCGTAGCTTGATTAGAGCTTATTGTAAGTATTGTTACTAGTCTTGCAAGCATTGCATTTTACGCCTTCATAATAATTATTTTTAATGCTAAGTTGATTTGGTGAATTAAGTAATAAATTACTGATTAAGTATTAATTCAAGTACACTGAGAATCGTAATTATTGTTAATTGTGTTATGTTATAACAATTATTATACTTGTTATTACAATAATAATTATTATATTATATTCTTGTTGGACTTCAGCGATATAATATTTCGTAAACAGTATTTTAATGCAATTTTGTCTTGTAAAAATGAACTATCTACTACTACGTATTTTCCGAAATATTTAAAGATGTTATTCGTTATTTGTGTATTTTAATTACATAAAACAAATGTTGGACTAATTTATGTTCCTAAATCTAAGTTGTTTCGTCAAAAAATATGTTTTTCTAAAATTTGTAAATAAACTAAACCAAAAATAAAACTCCCGTTAACATTTTCATGGTTTTATTAAATTCGACGCATCCATATAAATCTTAGTTTGTTTTTTTTTCAATATTTTTGTAAAGATCAGAATGAGTACAAATGAATGCATGCCACTTCCACCACAGCGAGATTGGTAAAAAATAAGTACCATACAACGTGTCTTTGTGTCCAGGGTAAATTAGACCGTATTCTATTTATATGTAGCTTCAAAGTCGTATGAAATCTTTATACCTTTTTCAGGCATATTTTATGTAGGTACTCCACAGCACGTTTAGGATAAATATATATATATGTCGGAGGAAGCTGGGAGTTAATTGTTACTTACATTGCATAACGCACATTAATTTTGTTTGTATTATATTCACTTTTTAAAATGCCTAAATTAATTTAAATTGATTTGTCATACTTAAAATTCTTAATTTGATTTATTAGAATTATTAATAATTTGAATTTGACTGCCTAAGTAACGACTAATCAGAGCAGAGCGCGCGCCTCGAGCGGGGTCGAGGCGCCATCTTACTGATAAAAAAGGAGATAGTTTTGGCGGGAGAGCATGAATTGGCTATCGGTCGAGTTGGATCGTTTATGTGATTTACTGTAAGATCGGTGCCCTGAACCCGCTGCTCAGTCCTAATTATTAACTTTTCTTTTGCGTTATTGTGAAACAGATAAAACTATTGTTACTATCTAAATTAAAAGAGTGTTTATTGTGATTATTGTGTTTTATGCTCGCATTTTACCCTCATGACGCCCACTAAGCCCGCAATCACAAATGACGATGTCGGCGATGACAATGTTTCTCCGACATATATATATATATATATAATAAACGTTAATACATTAATCGCCGCTTGAAAACTGTTGAAGGTAGGTAATTCCTTCGCTTTCGCTAGTATACGTTTGTTAACAGTACCTACATAGACATGGCAGTCAAGATGTTAATAAAATACGTACCGTAAAATGGGGTGGATAGGGATCGAGAGGTGAATAGAGACAGAAGAGGGGTGAATAGATATTGGGAAATTGTTCATAGTATCGATTCACCCCTCTTCTGTCCCTATTCACCTCTCGATCCCTATCCACCCTATTTTACCGTAGTTTATCTTTTTAGGTCTAGTTTACCCTAGCACTGTTGCTTGGAAGACTAAATCGTAACTAAACATATTTACATAATCTTAGCTCTACATTATCACCCACTCCGTTATTTTACTTAAACACAAATTACATACAAGAAAACTTAATTTATAAGAGGTATACTTGTAAGTACAGGATGTATTTTAAAACACTTATCCATAATTTTGAAATAACATTTTCATATAAATTTCGATTTATAGCAAACGAGTTCATAACAACTAATAATAAGTAGCCGTACAAAATTCTTTAATCTTATTCATAAAATCACATCCAGAATTATCTTATTTTAATACCTTAGTTTGACTAAGTACCACAGGTTTCCGTACACAACTAATTCTTATAAAAATAATAATTATATATAGATACCTATGTACATAATTATTAAGTTCGAAATAATATTTGTTAGTAGCTGGATGAAATCAATTTGTGTTTGTTTTTTTGCACTATGTTAAAAGTTAGTGTATGACATTAATTACATGATTACAGCATATCAAATGCCCATACTAATGAAGTAAAGAGCTAGTGGGGTTGTGATTTTATTACATATCCAACCAATATCTTTAATTCACGCAAAAATAATAAAAAAATAATAATACAGACAGATCTTGATTTTCTTTTTGACTTGCTTTAGAATACGAGCAGCCGATGTTCGCGTTTCGCATATTTACATGTAAGAAATCTGCATAAGATAGTCTCTATCCGTTTCAAGGCTATTTCCATCAATAAACATAAATATAATAAATGCACAATTTAGATGTTTGTGGATTTTGATTGTTCGATAGATTCAAGGAGGTAGCGGTACACATTATATCCTAAAACTTTTAGGCAGAGTCTTGAGACACGGCGCCTCGCGAAAGCGGAATCCGCCGCGTACGAAAAAAATCAGGACTCAGCCTTAATTTGAGATTCATTACAAAATATGATATAAGTACTCTCAAATACGAAAAACATTTTTTTCAACCTTTTGTTATTCTGATCAACAAATACTTTCTAGTAACACGAGGTATATGCGTACCAAGACTCCTTTAAATATGATCAAATCAATACAGCTATCCAGCTATTGGATACAGTACTGATTAAGTTTGTACTAAAACCAGAAGTAAAACGAGTGTAGCTGTTGATTGTAGGATAGCTACATACAAAATACCAGGCAAGCTATAATTTAGCTTTAAAACATTTTAATTTCCTAGAGAAATTCGTTCAATAGCTCTTTAAACGACTTTTTATACATATAAGGCCCCGTTGATATCAATTTACTATAAAAGGCAATACAGCAGTCAAAGATTATACACATGCTTTGCTGAACACAGTGTCAACGAAATATCTTATTATAAGTAATAGTATGTTGTACATGTAATCTCATATCAACTAGCCGTAACTGTTAACCTGTTTTCGTTAAACAAAGAGGCACGAGAGGCTTGGCCAAATGGGTTATTTTAAATTCCTAAGTGACTTAACATGTTGTATTGTTAGAAAACGAATTCGATAGGAAATGTTTGGCTACTTCGTAAAATATGAATATTGAGTCTATACTGAGTCTGGGCCAAGCCTTTCGCCTCATATTAGTATATCTACAACAGTGCATGGTGACGTCACACTTGTCGGTCGTGTCGTGCGGGAGGCATCACAGTCATGGGGCCGGGAGCGCCATGCTTGGCTTCCAGCTGAACCGGCTTGGAAGGTACTTTGGCATCAGTCGCTGGACGTGCTGGATGCACTGGTACTGGCACTGCATCGGGAACTAGTTTTCGGATCAACTCTGACATACATGGCCATGGAACCAACCTGGAATTATAAAGACTTAATTTAGTACGTTGATCTAGATATGCAGAATTTTAAAGTCAGACAGTTTTTATATCAATTGTCATCATGTATTTATAATAAAAGTGATGTAAGAAAATTGAATCCGATTTCAGCTGAACAATAAATAACTTAAACAAAGGATAAAATTATAATACAGTCACAGAATTACATCATGTGATCACATGAAACTTCAAGTCACGCTTGACCAGAGCTGAAGTTACGGAGATCGTGTCATATATCATACAAGTTGTGTCATAAGACTTACAGCTTGAACGGCAGCAAGACGCGGAAGAAACCAGGAATGAGCGCGAAGGGCTCGTCGGTGCGAATCGCCATTACCACACGGTCAGCCACATCGTTTGAGTTCAGTTGGGGTACAAATCTGAAACCAGGATTAATTTATTAGGATTATTTTGCATCGACTTGAATAATTTAGCACCGCAGAACCTCTTAAACTTTGTTTTTTTGTGATCGATGGAATAGAAATTAAAAATAAAAGTCTTACCTAGAATTGACCTCTTCAAACATGCCAGTAGAACGTATAAAATATGGGCATATTAGCGAGGTTTTAACTCCAGTATAGCCTTGTGTTTCCAGCTCCAATCGCAAAGCTTCATCGAAGCCGCAGGCAGCGGCCTTGGAAGAACAATAGTCTACCAGCTTAGCTACTCCGACATGGCCAGCCATTGAAGCAATGGTCACTATGTGCCCACTGTTATGTTCCATCATTGCTGGCAGGAACGCTTTTACAGTCTATGGAAAATAAATTAAGCAAATTAATTACTATAATGTATAGATACAGCATCGTTTAACGCATTTGATTGATCTGCATAAATTGCCTATACTGCTAGGTTAATGACTTGTGCCTGGTTACTTCGACCTTAAACTAGTTTTGGTGCAATTTAGTTAGGTAACCTTGGATATCCAACGAGCAATCTAAGCCGCTTATAAAAACGAATAAAACAACCACTACCAATAGTGGTGTACCTCAAGGTTGTACATTGGGTTTAATCAAAATTGGTCTGTTTCATTTGTTAATTGGATTATGTGAGACATTGTTGTTGGCACACTATTCATCGGATTGTTGACCAGAATTATTGATTAATGCACTATCCATAATCTATACGTGGGCATACAATGGTTATTCAATATGTTAGTTCCTAACAAATCAATCGTCTCATTATACTTAATTAATCCTAGTTTTTACGAGGAATAATTTTCCTTATCATTGATCAACCGTCAAGCATGATTTAACTGCAGCATGGGTACATTATGTTCAAAGGCTTAATAAATAAGTGTTATTTATCGTATTAGGACGTTATGCAAAATTATGCTAAAATTCGTTTTCGCGGCTGCCAAAATCAAATTAATTTATCCTGTTTAAAAGTTATGTTTCCTTTCGTAAAGTGTTATTCATTAAAGACTTCTAATAACGATGTTATTTTTCAGTAAATCTAGTACTTTTTATCGCCAATTAGGTATGCAACAATTTTATTTAGATATACCTCTACAATCACATTCAATTTATATCTATTTCATTCGCATGTATACATATATACCTGTAATATGATAATTACTTTAATAAGTTTTTTGTAATAATTGATTTTTAAAAATACTAATAATTATTGCCTTGGCTACTCTAGTTTCATTTTCAAATAATAAATGCAGGTACATATGTTAGCATTAGCCATGAACTTAACATGACATTGTAATTTGTTAATGACTAAGAGCAAAAAATAGTCTGCGAAATTAGACAATGAAAAACTAAAAACTACATTTAACATAACCAATTGTGTGCAAATGAGGAAAATAATTTTATTCTTCAGATCCTAATGCGAACCTAGGACAGTCTTAATTATATATCTGACAAATTTCAGAATCAATTTGTTTTTATTAGTATTTTGTATATACTTTGTACGAGCATCGCCACATGATTTCTATTGTTTTACTTTTAACTTATTATGCTATACCTAACATTTTGCCGAATGCGCTATGTTGGCGCATTCATGACGCAACCTACTAACAAAATTATGTTATTTATAGCCACACTTGTTAAATAATGTAGTAATATAGTAAATAGTAATTAATCTAAAAGTAATGTAGTAAATTTATTTCTGTGAACATCCCGTCTTCGTTGACAACAAACACATCTCAGTGTACGTGAAAGTAGAAGTAATTCAAGTAATTACCCAAAAATGTGCCAAGATATTGACGTCAAATGTCCGTTGGATAAGATGGTCAGGAGTCTCGAGAAGGTAGCTCCCGGACACGACACCAGCATTGTTGATCAGCAAGTTTACCTGGAAATTGAGAAAAGGATTTATGTTAAAATTCTGTCACCATCGCTACCATCAACCTGTTTTCACTAAAACATGAACATTTCTATCTGTCATCTTTACAAATAAACTAGCTTTTGACTTTGGCAAATGATATATTGCAAGGGACTAATAACATAGTAGGCAAAAAGTGAGTGTAGATACTACATAGAAATACCGTAACTTTGGAATTTCCTTTAACGCAAATATGTATTTCACAGTACTACAATAATTATAGTTGGAGCTTTCCTTCGCAACTTCACCTGCAGTGGTATGTCGTGTGTTGACACATTTTTCACTAAGTATGACTCAACTACCGTCCGGCTGTATATCAACTATCAAGATAACGCCATATCCGTCATCTCGGGAACTTTATCTGAACATTATGATAGGCTAACGACTCCTGCAATGTCCTAAGCACCTGGTATGAATATTAAACAGATTATTTCAAGACTACCTACCTACCAATGTGTTTACATGAATATTACTTACAGCAGTACGACCATTTTGAATTTGTTAAAGTCCACATAAAATACACTGGCCAAAATGTAATAAAAACATAATAATAATAATAATAATAAATAATCTTTATTGTACACCAATTTGAGACAGTATATCAAGGAACAAATAAAGAAAATAGGGTACAAAGGCGGCCTTATCGCTAAAAGCGATATCTACCAGGCAACCTTTGGGTGGATAGAATAGGTACTATAGTAGGATATTAAATGAGGTAGTTATAGCTTGGCGTACTGAGGTGCTTATTTATATAATGTAAAAGAGAAAACATTAAAAAACAAATTAATTAATTTTAATATAGAATTATATACATACATACACACACATACATACATACATACATACATACATACATACATACATACATACATACCTACATACATTCATACATATATACATATACTAATACATACATAAGTACATTTAGAAACAAGATACAATGACAGATAGGTGACACTAGGTGAAGAAACAACAATGAACTACAGTGTGGAGAGATAATGCTCCCTCACGCGTGCCTTGAACGTGACCAGTGACTTTGCTTGTTTTATGGAAGGGGGAAGTGCATTCCACAGTCGAATAGCTCGAACTGTAAACGATTTGTCGTAGGATTTACTCTCATGCTGGGGCATCTCAAGTCTCAGATCTCCCGACGACCGTACTGGTCTAAAATGTGTGTCATGGTAGAACTTGAAACGTTCTTTAAGGTAATATGGCGTAGTAGGATTAAACAGTATATTGTAGAGAAGGGATAGGATATGAGTATTCCGGCGAAGGCGGATCGGCAGCCACTTGAGTTTAGCACGGTATTCGGAAACGTGGTCATATTTTCGTAAGCCAAATATAAACCTTATACAGAAATTTTGGAGTCGCTCAAGTTTATCTAACTGCGCTTCAGTAAGGTCTGGATAGCTGACGTCGGCATAATCAAGAATGGGAAGGAGAAGTGATTGAGCAAGCGCAATTTTGGTAGCGGTTGGTAGAAAGTTTCGAAGTCTACGTAAAGACTTGGCTGACGCAAATATTTTCCGGCTGACCTGCCCCAGTTGCGGTCCCCAAGAAAAGTCTCGATCTATGGTAATGCCTAGATCTTTCACTGAGTCGCTGTATGGTATTATGGTACCGTTAAAAACAATAGGTGGAATCTGCGACCATGTAATTATCATAACATATTACATGTAAATATGTCAATCTTTTTTTCAATAACTCCCTAAAGTCAATTTACGTAGATACACATCTTTAACATTATACGAGTTTGCTCAGTCAATATTAGCGGTGTTTAAAGCCATCATTAACACCTTTATACCGAATTGTGTTGACTATCAATAAGGAATATTGAAAAAATATCAACAGTGTATTATTATAACGTATTGTATATAGCATAACAGATCATCTAAAGTCAAAGACAAAATCGTTTATATCAATTAGACCATTTGTTGAACGAGAAGGCATTTGTTGAACGTCTAGCTCTAGTGAAGCCATTTGCACGTTCCAAAGTGTAGATTCGATATGAATAAGAACGAAAAGAAACTCCATAAGCTAGTCTATTTTATAATATGGTATCATTAATAAATACGAATTTGATGTGTCATTATTTATTTTATTCTCAGTTCAAAAGGTTTGCAATCTTTTGTTTTCGGATACTACCTGTTGTCGGTCTGATTTGATATTTCGCATCGGTGCTATTCTCCGTTTCAGATCCCTTTTCCTGGTTAACAAATACAACACAACGGTTTTCGAGTTTAGAACTTTGCAACACATGTTACATGTCATTTTAACTTAAATGGTCAAAGATTTTATTATTTACGTACCCTGCCGACTTCTTCTTCAACTTTCTTAGCTACCCTGTAGATATCTTCCTTGCTGGCCAAGTCTACCACGTACCCGTAGCATTTGCCACCGATGCCCTTCACTAGTTTGACTGTGTCTTCCAAACCTGAAACAAAACACGTTTGGTAATCATCATCATTGCCTTGACTTGCTATTTTATTACGATACGCGAATACAGTAATGTTTAATAGTAAGTAAGTTAGTGTAGACCGCGACATTCACTGGTGCGAATTTTGAATGTAGGCGCTAAATAAAAATCATTTTTATGTTTCAATATTTAATCTTATATCTCTTCGCCTTTTATTTCTTGCTTCCTTCAAAAAGTATAAAAAATGATCACCTAAGCTTTTTATTAAAACTCAAATTGCGTTTAGCTATTAACAAGGTTCATCTAGAGACGATGTAACAGACCAAGTAAATTTCGTATTTTTTATATTAATTTGGTAGTGAATGTGTACCACATTTAGAGGTATTTAAGAATGATAATGACGTGATTGGATGTGGCTGCAAATTCAAACATACATATGTATATATTTTATTATTTTACAAATTTTTCATGGTTACCGACTGTAATAAAATAAGTAGGTATAGGTGCTTAGTAATTACAATTACAAAGTCGTAAAATATAATAAAAATACATAATTATTTTTATGTTGTAGATGCTAGACTTTAATTTAATTTATTACTTTGCTAGGTGTATTTGAGTTTATGAATTAGGCACGGTATGTAATTAGATATTTAAAGAATTAATTACGTGTATTTTTTATTAGACGCAGGATTATTTTTAGAGATTGCTTAGATGAACAATTATTTGCAACAAAGCTTTCTTAAACGTGTCTAATGGTTTAAGATAATCAAAAATAGTTTGTTAATTTTCAATATATATATCTAGTCAATATAAATCTACGGCCTCATAAGCTTGTAGCTCATTTGAGCCAATAACTCAAACAGAAAGAATTTTAGAACCAGTCCCAAAATGAACGAACGGGTTCAATGAACTCTGTCGAACTTGACCTTTTTTGACATTTAAGTGTACTGTTACGCGGAAAACAATAAAAGAATCCATTTGTCTGCCAAAGAAGTCATTTAAGTAGCATTTCTTTGTAGCTGAGTATGAGATAAGGCGCGCTTTGGACGTGCCTTAGTTCCTGACTTTCATTATCTTCTCACTTCTGCACTCAAGTGTACATTAAAGCACACATAGGTACCTACTTTCTATAATGAAACTGATGGCGATGTCCATTAACGAGGTAGCGAGTCCGTTATAAGTATTTTTTATAAATTTCGAGTGCGAGTAGAAAGTAACGGGTCGATACAATACGAAAAAATATTCACATTATAATCCGTTGACATTAATGCCGATGGTTCTAATGACACAATACAAAAAGGTAAACATTTAAATTGCTGGTTCTGAGATTCAGCTTCTCACAAAATGTAGACACATTTGACATTAAAGATTATATGAACAGAAATTTTACCAAGTAGGTACTGTTTTTTGTTAAGCTTTCATCATAAAATGTTCTTAAAAAATCGAATGAGATTATCAGTAAGAGGGTTCGAGTAAACTTATTCGGAGCAACTGCTTTCAATTTCGTTTATAACAGTAAAACGTTTTCTCAGCTTAATTACAGCTAATCAGATTAATGCGGTACGTGCGTCTGTTGCATGTGTGCGCGCGCGCGTTGCCCGTGAAGCGCGGAAGTACCGCAGCGGTGCGTAAGCGCAGCATTACCATTACAGGCGCGTGCGCAGTGTACGCGCCGGAGATTGCTCTTTCAGCCGTGTCATTGTACTGTTGTGTTCGTTGTTAATTTAGGAAGTCGAATGTTTGTGTGCGGGTTTACTAAAAATCTTGATTAATTTGAAACTTTTCTGCAGCTTACGTGTAATCTGGAATTATAAACTTATACGTAGTTTTTCTAACTACCGAAGTTAATGCGTGTTTTAGTTACAATGGGGATGATGACAGGGTATGAAAATTAAAAATATAATTAGTCCGTAAGTTAGGTAATGAAAAAATATTAGACACGTATTTTTTTATTTTGTCGTATAATAAAACAATACTTAGATAAAACGTATCAAAGTTTAGGAGTGGGGGCTAAAACGTCATTTCTTAGTATAAAATGTACTGAGAAGTGACGTCACGCGACATTTCAAATCAATATATCTTCGAAACTATTCGTTTCTGTGAGAAAATAAAAAATACGTGTCTAATGTTTTTAAATAATCTACCAGACGGACATTAAAATAAAAATTAGTCGTCTACCCTATTGCAAAGCTTTGTAAATATGGTACAGCCACGCTATATTTCAGCTTTTATATGACGTTTAAGACTACAGTTTCAGTCAGTTGAATGTGCCGGGCTCATCTATTTAAAGCTAGATTTTAAGCTAAATATTACTAAATATTACTAATATAACTTATTTAACCAGCTGTTCATGCAATATTTAAAGGGCAAACAGTTTGCTGTGCGTGCATTAAACGTGTGCTCTTGGCCGAATACTCTTGAAACATGGGCCTGATTCAATTGATCGAACACGAGGTTTCTTGCACAAGCGCCGGAATCCGGCTCACCTTGACAGTTTCATGTAATTTGGCCCATAATTTGGTCATCGCTGGTGTTTAATGCTCACTTAAAGTAAATACTAATTTATTCTTGATTGCCATTGTTATTGTCTATTCACGTAATGTATGTAAAACGTTGTTTTTTTATTCAGTGCACCTAGTAAAAACTTGTAAAGTTTAATATTAATTTTCATTACTAACGTCTTTATAGGGTCTTATGAACCCTGAGAAAAGGGTCGGCAAGTTGAAAGCGTAATTGTAGCAATAATTTCTCACAAAGTAATTGTAATGAAGTTCAGTTTTAATTACGTAACGAGCTCGCTTTCGACCGTTACTTTATTAGAAAAGGTTACAAGGTTACCATGATTATTGTTTGTTTCTTTTTATTATTTTGTTACTTAGTGGGAGTTGGGAACAGGGCTTTGCGATGCTTTGTCCATATGCGAATACTGATTATCACACTTTAAGTATCTTATCTAGCTAAGAATTATTATGCAGGTATCTACGAAAGTTAAAGTTTATATTCACAATTGAAAAACAATAAATACTTATGTCATTCTTATTTAAATTGACCGTAGTAAAATATAAATTGCATGATCAAACCGAAATTATTTTGGCTTCATAAATTCTGTATATTGGCTAAAAAGTACCTAGAGCTACTTCACTGTCTTATACCTAGGGGCATCACTGTTGAAGCTGCGAAGGTCATATAAATATTTCTTATAGTCATTGCAGCTCCACCACAGCGCAATCACTTGCAACAAGCAACATGTAGTGTTATTTTCTCGAACATAATGAAGATATCGCCTAGGGTTATCAAATACACTAAGGTATGAGACAGAATACGGGATGATTTTAAGATTTTTAGTCAGTCATTAATCTTACCTAGCCCTAGCCTAGGGAAGATCTCCATAACAAATTTCCACCTTAGATCATGGCAAAACGATTTCCTTCAATACTTATAGAATGAACTAGAAGCATTTATTATTCATACTCATGTTTGTATTTTTTGTCCTATATGTGGTTCCATAAAAATTCAAAACATTTGCTTGTTATGCTAAGTAGTTAAATATTATTAACGCAAGGTCGTCAGAACAAGGAACTCTAAATATAGGTTACACACAACTTTAAATAATTAAAGGTACCGTAACGTAAGTTTACGCCATATGGTTTAAAATAAATATAAAAGCCTAAAACTTCGCAAGCAAAACTATAATTTAATATCGAAAGAATAAAGTGACTTTTACAAGATTGGTAGTGGTTAATATTCCCAAACAATTTTGCAGCATCATCTTAAGTTCACGACTCCGCCTAGAGGTTTAATCAGCTTATTATCAAAGCCTCAATGCATATATGAAATATGGAACGTGCACTAGTGAGAAGTAATTTTCTGCATGTAAACGTCACTCTATGCATGTGACAACCCTAGATAAATAATGATGGCAATTACTAAGCGTTATCTGAGATACACTCATGCGCATAGCTGTGGTATTACAAATGGAGATCGATGGAGACTTTGATAGATTGCAGAGGGATTTGTGAACATTATTTATTTGTTTCTAAGTACTACCTAGCCAATGTTACTGATTGAAGCTTCTCTTTTGTTCAGTTTTTGTTTCTTGGTACATAATTACTTATGTATGTAGTAAGTAATCATTCATTTAATTGGACTTATACCTACCTAACTATATGTTTTTACTGTCGTGTTGTACCTGTAAAATGCCTTTGACAGTTTTAATGATTGCATGATGTGTTTGTTTGACTTAAGTACTTATAAATACCCATATAATACCTGCAGTTGCTTTTATTTTCAACAAAAAGTATTGTGCATATTATTTGTAGACATACGTGCGTATAAATTAAACAAGCATTAATTCGTGTCTGATTTTAAGTTTGGAATAAATGTGTTCAGTATAAAAAATATTGCTGATAAAAAAGGATTAATGATTAAAAACAATTGTTTTTAAGTCACCTTTAATACCTCTAAAAAACAGGTGGATGACGTGAGTAATTTAAAAAAAAAGTAAGCTAAAAAATTTTTAATATTTGAAATGGGTTCAATAAAAAATGACTATTGGACAAAAAAACATTGACGTTCCAAGTTTAATAACTTGGAACAAGTTAGAAGGCACCAAAATTAATTACCAGACATTTATTGTACGAGGCACCGTAAAAATAAACATATGTATCTACATGTACCTGTAGATACCTACTAATAAAATTAATGAAATAATAAAATCAATAAAATGAATGATGTGTTGAATAAAATAATAAAATGAATGAAGTGTTGAAAAAATTTTTAGTCTTAATCAACTACCTAGGTACTAACCGATTAATCCCAAAGCAATGAATAAACCAAATTCCTTTAGACCGAATAAATTAATAAAATTAGCTGTTTGCAAGGGACGTATAACCCGGTTACCTTAATTGTTTTAATATTACGGTTACCAATTATCTAATACAAGTCCTACTCTACAATATAACCTTTGTTGCTTTGACTGCTTCGTAGGTCCAGCTATCCAACTATAAGGTAATCATTTA